TCAACCAGTAAATGCCACCTTTTTTTTGCTACTGACAGTACTTTTCAATCCTATAGTAGTACCTACTTTTGCCCTTCGTTCTTGCGTTTTAGCTTTGAACACATTGAACACAGCTTAGCCAAAGTTTCTTTGCATTGAACTTTTGGGTGATATTTAGCACACTTTCCACAGATATAATAGTAGTATCATTTTTTTTATGTTCAAATCCTTGCCATCTGTTGCAAAGAAAGGCGTCCAAATTGTTCTTAGATATTTCCACCAAGACTCTTTTCAGCGGTAAAATAAGTTACGCTCGCGAGCCAATGAAGAAGTAATTATATAGGATCTGTTTCAGAGTTTGACGAAATCATTCCACGACTCTCCGCAGGTGTAGCGGCAGCAATTTTTATAACTTTCCCGAAATCTGGTTGCAGCTCTCTCGGCTGAGAGGGCGCGGATGTACTTATTAACATCCCATTCCCATTGATGCATAATTGATGTAGAAAATTGTTTTTATTTTTGTTATGAATGTTCCACGAAATATGTTAATAAAATTTTTATTTTTGAAGAATTTACCTCTGTATTCTTCATCTAAATACATTTATGAAGTAAAATGAACATTATTCATTGCTTTATGTTCGAAACTGTTTAACTCTTTAGGTTGATTTGGCTACTGATTTTGGTAGGCACATTTATATGCGCCACAATTGTCTATGTTGACCTGACCGAGCTATACAACTCAGCGCGTGTGCACACAACCATCGAAGACAGCATGCTGCCGATATTCTATGTGCATTTCCCATCTGTGGGCATTTGTCCACGCAGTCGCATCAATTGGCCCAGATTGCAGGAAGAGGTCCCAGCTTATTTTTTGGGCACCAATGCCACGGCAGAACAAAAAGAGCTCTTTAAAAGCTTCTTTACAGCCGTGTCTGCTATGCACTTCAATGATATGCGAAGCCTGGAGAACTTCTTTAAGAACTCGTCCCTTGCAGCAAGTATTAGCCAGCTGGATGGATTGGATGTGACAAAGGTATTGGAGTACATGAATCTAAATTGCGGCGATTTCTTTTTAAATTGTAACTGGCGGGGTAGGCCACACAATTGCTGCGAGATTTTCGAAATGCAGCGCACCGAATTGGGATTTTGCTGGGTCTTTAATTCGGCAGTAAGTGCACAAATGCGACAACGACACGTGGGTACTAACCTAATTGAAAAGACTTTGATAATTCCTAAGTATTCCCTTAATAGAGGGAAGACAAATACTACCCACGCCGCACTGCACAATCTGGCCCCGGCACTGGCCTACAAGTAGTCATGGGCCTCAATAAAACACTAGCTAAGCCTGGATTGCGTGGCGTATACGTTATGGTAAAGCAGCCGCAACAATGGAGCGAGGCAGCACGCTTGGTGCCACACGACTCCCACAACAGAATCAGTGTGATGCCCCGCTATACTGGTTCCGATTCTAGAACTCGAGTCCTCACGGCAAGAGTAAGACGTTGCATTTTCCCTGATGAAATTCACGATCCGCACTACAAGAATCTACCGGGCTTTGTTTACTGGCGTGGTAACTGTCGCACAAAATGTCACCAGGAGCATGTGATTGACCTTTGTAAATGCTCACCATCTCTGCTCTTTCCCCGCAGTCAAGCGGGTGAGTATGAACTTGACTTTTGATTGACTTCTTTTACTAATTAGTCTGACTCACTGCAGATAACATTACGGACTGCAAGGCCTCTGACTATAAATGTCTCTACGAACACAGATGTAAGATATAGAGGTCTATATATAGATTATAACTCCTTCTACGTTCTAAGTTCCTTTTAGTGACCTTTAGCGTGGAGCGCCTTCCACTGGAGCAGCAATACGTGGATAACGTGTACAAGGATAGCATGAACTGTGACTGCCTAAACAGCTGTTCGCAGCTGGTTTACGATACCATCTTCAGCAACAGTGCTATGGAGTAAGTCAGTATTTCTTGGTATATCCTAACCAGACCATAACAGTTCTATATTATAGCTCCCAAGAACTAAATGCTGATGTTATAAGCATGCACCTGGAAGTCTTCTTTCAATCACCTTGGTTTATCAAATACCAAACGCATATGCGCTTCACTTTTGTGGAACTTCTCGGTGGGTTTTATACACTAATCAGTCTATGCAAACATTAAAGTCCATATCCGTCAATTACAGCCAGCTTTGGCGGCATTATTGGTCTATTTCTGGGCGCCTCGCTCCTAAGCGCAATAGAGTTGATCTACTACTTTACCATTGGCCTCTATTTATATTTATATCACGGCAACAGAGAGTCCAATCAGCACCCACTGTCACCACCACCACCAGCTCCCATCACACTGCACTTCCGCCGCAAGATAACACCTAAAAAAATGTTTATTGATATCAAATAATATGTGCAAGAAAAAATAGGTATTTTTGATGTGTCATATTTAATTTCCTAACAAACTCTTAAATTCTGCTACAACTTGATGACAAGAACACGGCCTTCAATCGATTTTCGAACTTTATTAAATAATTGATATTATATTTAACCGATTTTGAAATTGACATCTTCAATGAATTACACATTTCGTGCAAATGATATATAAATGTCGAACTAAGAATTAGATTGTAAGTGAAATATCAGCATTGTAACTCAAATACATATGAAATAACTTGTTGGTTTGTTAGTAAAAATAAAGAAAGACAAAAATATAATATTCACCACGCATTGGTTCTGTGATTAAACGGATGCCGCAGTTTGCTTTTGGCCAGAGATACCGAAGGACCAGCTTCCTGGTGAACGTGACTCACTTCGTTACGTAAATAGCGCAGCCCCTTGGACCCAATCGCTTTGAGTTTCTTACGAAAGACAACATAGTAGTTGTTATCATAAAGGTGTAGAGCAAATCCGACAGTTAAGAAGTAGAGCAGCTCAACACAACTGACCATAGAGGCGCCCAGGCAGAGGCCAAATATGCCGCCAAGATTAGCTGAGAGAGCAAATAAATATGTGTTATGTATGCGCATATACCATTTAAAATTTGATATTGTAACTGAAGTACCAATCAAATCAATGCTGCTAAACTCAAGGCTAGTGCGAAACGTTATCATCATTTCCACTTGATAATGCACATCCACCTTGAAGAACTTGAGAGTCGGTGATGCGGGCCTATGTAGCACAGAAAAACAGTCATGAATATATATTACCAATTGATTTCTATAGAATAACTCTACAATTCTCTAGAAGACAATGGCAGCGTTGTTGTGGACGTATAGTACTCCAGCAGATTACAGTTGACCAGACAAGGACAGGTCATGCCCGGCTTGGTGGCGCTAAAGTAATTATCCTCCTCCAAGTGCTTGTCATAACCAAAAATATCTGCAATATAGATTTTAAAAAATGCTGCTCGAGTTGCCAAGAGGGAAAGTTTGGGACTTGCCATTGTGACGCGAAATACAGCGCAGACTGGACGCAGTGCAGTTATTGGCTAAAGTGCAGAAAAAAGTCATAAGTGAGATAGTACTTAGTATCCAAGAGAGTGGTCGCTCACCTTTCTGATTGCTTAGAAAGAAAATTGGTAGCGTGCAATTGCACAGTTTGACCAAATAGGACTCATGACAGTTGTTAAGGCAGTTGGAAAGCAAAAAACTTTTACTGAAGCGACCCGGAGCAACGCTGATGCCAAAATCAACGTGCTCGTCCGTGAAGTGGCAATTGCGACGCTCCGGCGGAATGTTGCGCGTGGTGTTGTCGGTGCGTGTCAACAGGGGCCGCACTGACACATGAGTTTCTGTGTTGGGCGTTATGGAGTAAACTGCGTTAGATACTTGGTTTGGCTTCTTGATCATAATCTGCAAGTTGACAAGTTTAATAAAAAGCAGTCAAGATAAATTTGCGAGCTATTCACAAACACATTATCCGTGGCTGAAGTATCTGGGCGCTTAAAACGCTCATCCAGCAGTAGATTGAAATTGAGACCCGAGCTCTGACCAGCCTTGGCATTGTGCTTCGGATAGTAAGCGGCGCCCTCGCGCTTTTTAATTTCCTTTGAACGATCCGATAGTTCCGAGTTGAATACCAAGCAGAAACCATACTCAGTCTTCTCCAGCACAAAATAGTCGCAGCAATTGAAGGACGATTGTCGCCACTTACAAGAGCCAGGCACCAGAATATCCTCACAGCGTAACGTTAGAAAATGGGCCAATGCACTTAAGTTGATAAAATCCAGAATCTCTAGATGTTCATCCTCCAACTCGGAAGTGCTATGCTCAAAGTTTGCAAACCTCAACGTTTCCAGGTATGTAACCAGAGTCGTAAATACTTTGACGACATCTTCACTAGCATTTACCGGCAGAAACTGTGCCTTGGCCGCAGCAAGTTTGCTCCAGTTGATGCGGTTATCCGTGCAGACGCCCACAGCCGGGAATTGCACATAGAAAACTGGATACTGCGAATCGTCAATAACTGTTTGCAGCTTCTGCGCTCCATAACGCTCCGACAGCAGCATATAAAAGGAGCAGCAGAGCGTAACGCTAATGATGAGCAACACGCTCCAGATGAATCTACTTTGAGAATACATCAGTTAGTTGGCCTCGCATAGAACTCGTAAGTAGCACCTCTCAACATTATGTAGCCTGGGATCGTAAAGATAGCGCACACAGTGAATGGTTGATCTTTCACAGTAGTAGCGAAAGTATTCGCGTACCAGCTCCATAAAGCACCTCTCCACATCCTTATCCGACTTGGCAGCGTTCAATGCCTTAACCATTTTGTTACTGTGCATGCTGACAGCTTGCTCTGGCTTTATTAATGCGATTCCCATTAAAGTTTGGCATTGTAATTGCCGTGCTGAATTTATGACTAGATATCCATTATGCCTAACAACTTTTGTAATTGAGTTGTTATGTTTCGGTTGCCTGATAGGCCCATTGACAAATATCCGGCTATGAACTTTTGAAATTGATATCAACGCTGCTGTTCATTGATTAACTGCCACGCCTGTCAATCAGTTCATCAAAATGAGTACAGCGATTAAGTCTTCTGATTTCAATGATGATAATGATGATGACAAGCCGACCAATACTGGCCCAAAGGATACATGCCTCTGCCTTCGACGGTAAGCACTCAATCAGTCAAATTATACACTTAACTCTTTTGAAATTGCTATCCGCAGCTTAACCCGCATTATACTAATGCTGGTCGGGGCCGTGATGACTATTTACGTGTGTATATTATCCTCGGAGCGCTACTTCAAGTACTGGGTTCAGACCACAATCGATCGCACAGATGTTCACGTGTCAGAGATTGCCTTTCCAGCCATCACAATATGTCCCACGCACTTAACCCTTCACAGTGTTAATAACACAGAACAAAATAGCAGAGAGCAGCGGTTACATCGACTCTATAATCTAGTGCAGAGCATTCGTTGGCGCAACCCAGCAGTTGACCAGGCCTCACAGCTGGACTTTAACGAATTCGAAGAGTTTAATAACCAAACATTGCTTAATGTCGATAGCATCTTCAACTATGGTTACAGCTGCAAGGATCTATTTGTGCAGTGCATGTGGCGACGCCGAGAGGTGGATTGCTGCAGCATGCTATTTAGAAACTTGAAGATCGGCTCCTGCTATGTATTCAACTCAATAAATGCCGAAGATCCCGATCCTACATGGCCCTGGTCAGTGGCCGATGCTGGTTTCAAAAGTGCCCTGAATATCAAGATAAATCGTTATATAAATGACGTTAGGCTGGAGGCCATTGGGGTAAGTATGAGAACAGAGGACGCAAAAAATATATATCCATCAATTTGTAGAAATTTATATTGTCATCAATATATAGATCGAACTCTGAACTCTCTGTTTGTCAGAAAACAAGAGGGTCCCTGTGACATACCAAAAAATGATTTGATAATGTGGCCAGAGAATATGCAACATGCTTACCATACTAATCCCCAATTTTTCAGCTCGGCTCTGCCTTGTACTTGTACTTTCTGATACTCCTATTGTCATAAGTAGTTTTGAAACGCATTAAGAGCTTACGGTATACATTGCTACAATTATTTATTAAGCACCGATGCACCATCTATTTAAACTTAGCATGATGATGATAACAAAAGCCAAAAGGTTAATTATCAGCCTTGCAGATACATAGCACATTCGCGGTTTATTTCTCCACATAGCAGCAGAAATTGATTTGTCAATACATATATATCATAATACATATTTATCCAATGCAAGTTAGATTAAGTTTTAGAGAGGAAGTGGAGTCCCTAACAAATGAGTTTTTCATACAAGAACTTTATTTGTATTCTCTGAAAGTCTTATGATATAGTGGTCCGATCAGGTTATTCTAATATATATATAGTGCCTGTAAAAAAAGGGGCTTGGCTTAAGGTAGCGATCCAATAAAAAGCTGCTCTATGGGGTCGGATACTTGTCCAACTTTGATTCCTCAATGAAAATATAGTTAAATTTAATAAACTTTGATAATCCGTTGATTTCGTTTAATAGGAGCAAAGCTTAACGCTTTTTTCACGTCAACACGAAGTATTAACCATCAACAAAATTCTTCTATCCAAGGTGATCGTTCAAGAGCCAAGTCAGTATGTGGGCTCCAGTGTCACTTATTCCTCGGATGATCGCATTGTAGTGGCTCTGCAGCCGATACATTTCACAGCCGAGCCAGCCGTGAAGGCACGCCCAGTGCATATGCGTTATTGTTATTTTACGGAGGAGCTAATCAAATCGTATTCGCAATGCATAATCGAATGCCATCTACACTACATATCAAAGAAGTGTGAATGTAGCCATAGCCTTGTGCCAGAGAGTATTGATCTGCTGACGGAGGAGCCGATCCGCACATGTACTGTGGCCGACTTGCCGTGCATGCAAAAGCATGGAGGTATACAACTAGAAGTACCTGTACTTTCAGCATTGTAATTAACACTAAATCGATATTTCTTCAAAAGTGTCGCTGTTTTACATGGGCAACATAATTGAGGAGTCCACAGACAATGTCTTTAACACCACCGATTGCAAGTGCTATCCCAACTGCACTCATACACAATATCATGCCGCCACATTCACGGATCGTCTGAGCAGCATGGAAAGCAAGAACAACTTTATAGAGGTTGACGTCTACTTTCAGGAGGAGACACTTTTTTCCTACCGCTCCACACTGCACATAACAATGCTTGACTTGATGGGTAAGTTTTTTTTTTTTTTTGGTTTTCCAGCATTTTTCACTCGCTGATTGCTTTTACTCTCTCACAGTTTCTTATGGTGGCATAGCAGGTTTGTTCCTGGGTCTTTCAGTACTCGGGGCCATTAATAGCCTGTTGGATCGAATTCCTCATTGCAGCAAACCCATACAACAACCCATTAAAACTGATCGCGTTGCTCACGAGGCTAACGTTTCTTTACCTGTGAGAAAAACACATGATTAAATATAAGGAATAGAGGAATATAGATGAAATCAGTAAAAAAAAAAGAAGAATAAAAAGTAAACACCTGGCTGCATTGTTTTACAAGGGAACTCTTAAGATTTTAAATTTCAGCTACCTGCATCCGCAATGGAAAAATTCCAAATGACTCGACTACAACGAATATGAGTGCGCGTTTATATTCAACAAATTGAATTGATTGCTCTAGCTTAAATACCTTAAGAATCTGTGTGTAGCGCATTCTGTGCAGTTCAATAAAATTTGCTTTGTGTTTGTATACGCCTGACCCGACAACAAGATTTCAATCGAAACCCTCATGGAGGAGGATCCAATGCTCATCAAGCAGTGTTGGGTTTATCTGCAGGTCAGCACAAGTACTTTGAACCTAATTTAATCACATCGCTGAAGAGAACTTACTTCATCAAAATACAACATACTCTTATACATGTGCAGTACATTGACTACGACATGATGTTGGTTTACTTAAAATATTAAATATACTAAATACATTTCACAAATGCTCAATAATACAACCTACCTGCAAAGGTTAATTACAATTTAAATACTTCATATTTATTTTAGTTAACTTGCTATTATTTTTGTAACTTAAGCTTAAACTATATAAAAAAAAAAAGAATGATAACTATATTTTAACGTTATTTTTGCCTCACATTTTTCAGTTCAATTTTCCACCCATTTCGCAGCCGTGGAAAATTAAAATCTTACCTATCTTTTGAAAATTAATTTAAAGACGCATTAGGAAATTAGATCCAGCACTTTCGCCGATTTTTTGAATTTGTATATAGTTCCTAAGAAATTAATTTGATCTCGAAACTTCACCTACCATATCTTTCGCCTACCCTATTTTCGGCAAAGAGGGCTGAATTATCCGAGAAGTGTAGAACACCTCTAAAATGAATTTGAGCAAGGAACTTTAACAATAAATTTGAGGTCGAAAAGGCAGAGAAACTTCATACAACATATTTTGCACACTTCCGGGTAGAATTTGTTAACTGCAATTCTATTTTCAGGTTACAAGTTCTTACAGCAATCTGCCAGTCAGGACAAAACGTTTTATACATAGAGATGAACAGGTAAGCCTATACAGGCTTAATGTCTCCGAGATCGTCGCTTTCGTAAAGAAAGATGGACCATCTCCATCTGTGTATATGACATGGATACCAACATTAAACATATATATAATTTATATCCATTATACCCATTTAAATATTGTTGTAGGGTATAATAGTGCAACTGTCCATAAATATTTCTTGATATTTTCATAATCAACCACTAACTAAAATCTTAGCTTAACAATTCAAAATGAGGATATTTAAATGTCGCATTGCCGTTAAGAAAAAATCTCCCTCGTCAGTTAAGAGTAGGTAGCGAAACCCTAACGAATACAATCGTAGCAGACGGGTATAAATGGTTGTACCGCCCGTCAACTGTGCACAGTCCAGGTTTGATCGTTGAGCTGCGCACAAAAAGAATCAAAATGAAATATCTCGTTGCCGTCTGCATGCTGTTCAGCTTGGTGAGTATCTTGGACAACTGATATACCCATGCAAGTTTTAAGCAATGTGTTGCTTCGTAGGCCTCAGCCGAGTATGTCATCAAGAATAGAGATAATATGCTGAGCTACCGCGAGGAGTGCGTCAAGGAACTGGGTGTGCCAACTGAGCTCGTCGAGCAATATCAGAAATGGGTGTATCCCAACGATGCCAAGACACAGTGTTATTTGAAATGCGTGTTCACCAAATTCGGTCTCTTTGATGTCCAATCCGGCTTTAATGTAGAGAACATTCATACGCAGCTGGCACGCGGCGATGCGAACCACGACGATGAGCTGCATGGCAAGATTGCCGCCTGTTTGGATAAGAATGAGCAGGGCTCAAACGCCTGCGAATGGGCATGGCGCGGTGCCGACTGTCTTCTAAAAAATCATTTGCAGCTGGTGCAACAGAGCCTAGCCCCCAAATCCTAAGCTACAACTAAGTACATTAAGCTTCTAACTAACCAACAATTTTCTAGTTTCGTTAATAAAACTATGATTGGCATATACAGCGTACTCCTAAGTCACGCCTACCCAACAATTATTGACCAGAATAAAGCTGTCAGCGCTTCAGCGAGCACTTCTCAGTTGCCATGTTGTACTCTAAGGAACTTGTAGCGCCGCGACCCACATCAAAGGCGGGTCTGCTCCACTTTAAGCCGCATCCGCTGCGGAACAAATATGTGAGCATGTTGCGTCGCTCTTTTGGCCACTCGACAATTCACGGCATGCAGAATGCCTTCTTGGAGCAGCATCGTAGTGTGCGCTACTTTTGGTTCATTGTCGTGCTGTTGGGCACGATAAGCTTCCTAAGCATGTTCTCCATATTGCAGCACCAACACAATGAGCAGCAGCTGGTTAGCGTAGTGGAAACGACACAGTTACCGGTATATAATGTAGAGTTTCCGGCTGTTGCTATTTGTCCCTGGAATCATGTTAACTGGTTGCGCGCCTCAACGGCTGCAGAACGTTTTCTGCCCAGAAATGCTGATCCATATGTGCGCGAGTCCTTTGAGCAGTTGCTCATTGGCATGGAGCAGCTGACCTTTGGTGAGTTTCAGACACTGGGCGCGCTAGCTGAGCGAAACCTGTCTTCGCTCGTCCAACTGAGCCTCTCCAAGCTAGCCAGTTATTTGGCATACCGCTGCGACGAGCTCTTTGTGCCAAATTCGTGTGTCTTCGATGAAACCAACTACGACTGCTGCCAGTTGTTTGTGCAGGAGCGCACTGAGAAGGGTTTGTGCTTGGTATTCAACTCCCTGATTTCGGAAGATTCACGCAAGAAGAAGCTTATAAATGAGTTCTATCCGTACAAACTTAGCACGGCCGGTGAAGGCTCCGGACTACAGTTCATGCTGCGCATGAACGACTCCTATTTGCGGGCAGGCACTGAGGTGCCCTTTTCCATGAATGTGAGTTGACAATTTAGATATTTAAAATATCGCAACACTAAAAATCATCTTTTGTATTTCAGCTAATGATCAAGGAGCCCAGACAGTGGTCACACAGCATGGTCTACCATCTATATTCAAACACTGAAAACTTCTTGTCCTTAGATCCGGTGGTCATACAAACGTCCACAAACACTTACGAAATGGATCCCGCCAAGCGGCGCTGCTATTTTCATGTATGTGCACATCAATCAACACAAGCCAAAAAACAATTTACCTACAATTTAATTATAGAACGAGCGTCATCCCTACTTTCCGTATACGAGTCTGCCCTACAGCCGTGCCAACTGCATTGCCACCTGCCTACAGTGGTCCGTGCACCACCATTGCAAGTGCACCTTGCCAATACACTTACCGTCCATTGGTAAGTTGAAGATTGTTTTAAGATAATCTTGATATAACAACAGAACTTCGTTCCAGATGATACTCGCGAGTGCAACGTGCTGGACTTTCCATGCCTTTCTCGTCACACCGACGTCTTTGGCTATGTGAAGACGCGCGGCCAGGAAAAGTATATTAATGATTCCCGTCGTGGTCAGTTTTGCACGTGCCCAGATAGCTGCAACACACAGGTGTACCAAACCTATCTGAATGTGCGCCAATTGCTTAAGTAAGTTGGAGTCCACTGATAGCTCATTCAAGCTTAATTCCTCGCCTATTCCACACCACAGCTCCAATACAACAAATGACACACTGCCACCAAGACGCATCAGAGCAGATATACATTACACCCAGCGTGTGCTAATGAAAATAGAAACTAAATTGAAGTACACCTTCCATGATTGGGTCGCTGGTTTTGGTGGCATTCTGGGTCTTTATGTGGGCGCCTCGGCACTGAGCTTTGCCGAGCTGGGCTATGCTGTTGGCCAACTTTTGTGGTCGCTGCTTAAGGATGTATACGTTAAATTAAAATCTAAGTTATAAGCAAAATATATTTCATCATTAGATTAATAGTCAATAAAAAGGAAGCGCATTTATTTCTGCTTTGTTTCCTGGTCAGTCGGGTAACGTATATAAATAGCCGGATTTGGCACTGTGGCTGGCGTCTCTGTGAACTGGTCCAAGTAGGAACAGCCAATGGCGAGTGCACTTCCATCGGCACTGAAGTTAAGCGATGATATAGACGTGTCGTACTCGTGGAACTGGCACAGACGCTTCTTATTGAAGCCATCCCAAATGTTGACAATGCAATCGGAGCCTCCCGTTGCGAATGTGTGATAAATGTTATGAAAACTGACTGCATTAACCGGATATATCTGCTCAATGTTGTGATCTCTGTTGCGATGGCATTTAAATGCAAATTTCCGGCGCTGTACTTCAGGATCATGGTCAAGGTATTCAACGGCCACACGGCCTTCAATGGAGGACATCACATAGCCTTCCTTGTTGGGGAACAAGCGAATGCAGCGTGTTTGATACTTCAGCGACGATTCGCGCTTCATAATGTAACTATCCGTCTTTCGCAGGTCCCAAATTAATACCTTGCGATCAGATGTGGCCACCACAATTTTCTCGTCAATGACGGACATGGAGTAAACCTTGCCATTGTTTTGCTCAAATGAGCCCACGCAGCGCTTCTCGCGCATGTCCCACAGCTTAACTGTCTTGTCCCAGCTGCCGGTCAGTATGCCATTGACATATTCGGCATGCTCCACGCAGCGTATAGGTTCATCGTGGGCACCTACCAGAGTTTCAGCTTGTGTATTCACATCGTACATACGCAGCTGATTATCCAGTCCACCACTCACCACGTGCACAATATTCTGTTACGAAAATAATATGTTAGTGCTGTGTGCTTGGGTATATATATATATATGTATATGACAAACCATAAAGGCGCAATCCAATATAGGCGCATCCTGTACAAACTTTTGGCGCATTGAGTTTGCCGCCACATCGTAGAAGCGAAGCGTCCCGTCCCACGATGAAGCTGCCATATACTGATTTGACTTGGAACCGAACTTTACTGCCGATATTAGGTCCTCGGGCGGATTGTTTAATTTAAACTCTGATGGACCCATTTTTAATATTTGTTCGTTTAATCAATTTTAACAAATTACAAATCACAATTCCCGGTCGCTTGGATAAAGCGGTAATAAAAAGTGCCAGAAAACGCCAAAATAAACACATATAATGGTCACCCTATTTAGTCGCAAGCATCTCGTTAAGTTAACTGCGACAAAACACTGATAGCTATGAAACTGTGCTGTGTTCAACAAGAACGCGTCAGTTAAATTCAAAACCGTTTTTAAATGTGTATTTATTTTCAACGAACATTTACTATCACAACTAAATGGCATTATTATTACACTATTACACTAATATTTTGGAAGTACATATTTTGGTGGTTG